AGCTTGAGATTGGCTTGAAAGTTATAATTAGAAAATGTCTAATGAGGGGCAGTAGGTAATTTTATGTACATTTGAGCGAGTGTACAAACTACAAACTACATGCTCGAGTTCGAATTCAAAATGCTCGAGCTCAGTCTAGTGTTTGTGGCTCGATTGCAGCCCTATTTCTTCCAAAATTTTAAAGAACAGTTGGATTTTTAAGTTGAGAAAAAACATTGTTCAAAGCCATAGGGCAGGGCATACTAAATTAAGTACTAATTTTGAGTTTGGTTAATAGTTTTTGACCCGTCTTATACTAAAGATGAGAAAAAAAGGGAAAACAAAAGAGAAAAAATAGACCAAATAACATAATTTCTCAAGGGGTATAAACTTTTTATAAATAAAAATCCATGTTGTTTCAATAATTATACCTAACTTTTGGTCGATCAGTCACACTTTCTAACAAAAATGCATGACTCGTATTTATATTATGTAGTGTCATACCTAATTGTTGGTCGATTAGTCACACTTTCTAACAAAAATGCATATAACTCGTATTTATATTATGTAATGTCATGTTTCTTGGTCGATTAGTTACACTTTCTAGCAAAAATGCATATAACTCGTATTTATATTATGTAATGTCATGTTTCTGTTTATGTTATTTTGTAAAGTATGACATTTCACTTTAAAAATGTATATATATTTTTCTAACAAAGTATAACTAATTAAGCATTTGTTTATATTATTTTATTGACTATGAAACTTGATTTAAAAAAATGTATATATACTTTTTTTAACGAGGTACAACTAATTAATTGTCTGTCTATTAGCAAAAAAGAAAAAAATAAAAAATAAATAAATTTTAGACATGAAGCCCAATTAAGTCGTTAGATGTTAAAAAACACGACTTCAGCTCATATCTCCCATAGGATAGACAAGAGAGCATCCAAGACCCATTGCTAGGGTTTTTCTTCGCAGCGAGAAAAATACAAAAGAGCGCCAAGAAAGTTTCTGTGTCAGATTCGTACGGACGGCAGCCATGGCGAGCACGAAGGTCCAGCGGATTATGACCCAGCCCATTAACCTGATCTTCAGGTTTCTTCAGAGCAAAGCTCGCATTCAGATATGGCTTTTCGAGCAGAAAGATCTGAGGATTGAGGGCCGCATAATCGGATTCGACGAGTACATGAATTTGGTTCTGGATGACGCTGAGGAGGTTAACGTGAAGAAGAACAGCAGAAAGCAGCTGGGGAGGATTTTGTTGAAAGGGGACAATATAACTCTGATGATGAATACTGGCAAGTGATGCTGCCTGGGAACTTGGGTATGTGAGAATAAATACATTACTATTTGTTCCCAGTGATTTTCGTTTCTGTGTGGGATTTCTGAATTTCGGTGTGTTGTTAAACAGTTAAAAGGGGAATTTTTTGTGCTTTACTTGGTTCTGTTCTGGGGTTTTTGAGTAGCATCTGTAAGTATTTGATGAATTGCCTCACTGGAAGTTATTTGGTTTGATTTGGTTTTGGTGTGTGCTCTGTTTTTCCCCGGGTTTTGAATAGCGTGTAAGAGGTTTTTGATGAATTGTCTGAACGGAAAATTGGTTGGTGTGGCTTATGCTGTTTGGGCTTTGACTGATATGCAAGAAGTGTTTGATGAGACTTCTCTTCCTCATTGAGGGAAATGGG